TATTTTAACTTAATGCCTGATCCTAACATCTTGCTTACGAATACTCCAGGGAAAAACTATTTGCAATGGAGTCGGAAGAGTACATTGAGAAGTTTGTTGAGCTCCACAGTGAAATACGCGATTTAACGCCACAATAAAACACGCGAGTTAACGCCACAATAAAACACGCGATTTAACGCCACAATAAAACACGCGATTTAACGCCACAATAAAACACGCGAGTTAACGCCACAATAAAACACGCGATTTAACGCCACAGTGAAACACGCGATTTAATGCCACAATAAAACACGCGATTTAACGCCACAATAAAACACGCGATTTGACGCCACAGTGAAACACGCGATTTAACGGCACAATAAAACACGCGATTTAACGCCACAATAAAGCACGCGATTTAACGCCACAGTGAAACACGCGATTTAACGCCACAATAAAACACGCGATTTAACGCCACAGTGAAACACGCGATTTAACGCCACAATGAAGCACGCGATTTAACGCCACATTAAAACACGCGATTTAACGCCACAGTGAAACACGCGATTTAACGCCACAATGAAGCACGCGAGTTAACGCCACAATAAAACACGCGATTTAACGCCACAGTGAAACACGCGATTTAACGCCACAATAAAACACGCGATTTAACGCCACAGTGAAACACGCGATTTAACGCCACAATGAAGCACGCGTGTTAACGCCACAATAAAACACGCGATTTAACGCCACAGTTGTAACTTAAATAAATAACACAAGGATTTTTTAACGTGGAAACCCTCCCAATGAGGAGAGAAAAAACCACGGGGCCTAGCCCAGCTCGGAAATTGAATGTTTATTGATGGTTTTTTGTATGTACAAGGTGTGCCGCTTCTCGATTTATCTGACTGACTGCCTCTATATCTCTTTTTTTTTTCTTTTTTTTTTTTTTACGCGAAGAAGCGCTTTAGATGTATTATGTTCCAAGCTCGCGGCAATGGCTTTCCTTCTGCGTCAGCCAATTCGTATCCCCCACCGGCCAAACATTTTGTGACCATGTACGGTCCTTCCCAATTGGCCTCTAACTTTCCTGTGTGTTTTAGTGCGTCAGCCCGTCGTAAGACGAGATCCCCAATCTGGAATGAACGGGACCGTACCCCCTGATCATACCGAGCTTTGATCAAATTTTTACTTCGTTCCATGTGTAAATACGCCGCTTCTCGTAGATCGAAAACTTCATCCAGCTGTGATCTCAAAGCATCATCGTTTGTTTTTTCATCGAACGTGGTGATGCGGAGTGTGTCCATTGCCACTTCGACCGGGATAACTGCTTCAGTTCCATAGGTTAAGCGGAATGGTGTCTCACCGGTAGCTGCTTTGGTTGTGGTCCGGTAAGACCAAAGGACGGAAGGCAACTCGTCTGCCCAGCTTCCACCTAGCTCGTCTATCCTCTTTTTCAACCCATTGACAATGGTTCGGTTTATGGACTCCACTTGACCATTGGCCTGGGGGTACGCTACCGCTACAAATTTTTGTGTAATTTTTATTTCTTCGCACCACGCGCGGATTTTGTTGCCGTTGAACTGAGTGCCGTTATCCGATACGAGGCTCCGAGGTAGACCAAACCGACAGCAGATATGTTTCCAAATGAAGTGCATGACCTCGTCTTCTGATATTTTTGATAAGGCCTCGGCTTCAACCCACTTAGTAAAGTAGTCTACCGCAACAATGATGAACTTTTTCCGGCCAGTAGTTTGAGGGAATGGTCCCACCAGGTCAATTCCCCATTGGGCGAAAGGACATGGAGCACTCATGATGGTCATTTCCTCCCCCGGTTTGTGGATAAGCGGGGCATATTTCTGACATTGTATGCAGTGTTGAACGTATCGGTGCGTGTCCTTCTTCATGCCAGGCCAGTAATATCCGGCCCGATGTAATTTCTGTATAAGGCCCGAGCTCCTCCGTGTTCACCACAACCACCTCGATGTACTTCATCCAGAACATGTTTCGCCTCCTGCTTTCCCAAACACCTCGCATCTATTGTGGTGAAGCTCCTTTTATATAATATTTCGTGTCGTACGTAAAAGTGTCTTGCTTTATATGCCAAGCGGTGTTGTTCTCTCTTGGTGCCAGTTCGCTTTCCTCTGAAATAATTGAACAAAGGTGTTCTCCAGTCGGGCTCTTCATCGATCATCATGATTCCCGGTGTTGGGGTAGGGGCAATAAGGATAGTGATCTTTCTTTCAATACAATCGACGACTGACGATCCAATTTTAGCGAGGAAGTCAGCTCGCTGGTTGTCATTCCTTGGGACCTGATGCACGGTACAAGCTTCGAAGGTTTCCTGCACTGCTCGAGCTTTATTTACATACCCCTTCATTCTATCATTTTTTACTTCGTAGTCCCCTTCGAGTTGGTGTATCACCAATTGAGAGTCAGAGTATATTCGCACCACTCGCGCTCCGAGCTCTTGAGCGATCTCCATACCTCGGATGAAGGCTTCGTACTCTGCTTCGTTATTGGAAACTCGAGGTAATCTAACGGCAAACTCGACTTCCGTTCCTGTGGGATCAATGACTATTATCCCTGCCCCTGCTCCTGTTGTTGTAGATGAACCATCCACGTAAATTTTCCACTCCTTTTCGATAGGTATTCTGGTAGTCTCCCGGATGAAGTCTACCAATGCCTGCCCTTTGACCGAAGTACGGGGTTGGTACTGAATTTCATATTGTCCTAACTCGATGGCCATTTCACAATCCGTCCTGATGCAGTAGGCTGGCCTAGAGTTTGTCGAAGCGGTAGGCTCGTGCGGGATTACCGTGGTATGCGATAAGAAATAAGGCCGAAGTCGTCGCGTAGTGAGGACCAACGCGTACGCTATTTTTTCGACTTCGGAATATTTACTTTCCGAAGTGGTGAGGATTTTGCTAGTGTAATAGATCGGCCTTTGTTGGTTATTTATTTCTTTGAATAGGACCGAGCTGATCGATTCATCGCCGACCGATGAATATACGAACAGAGTTTCACCTTTTTCGGGGGTGCTGAGGATGGGCAGACAAGTAAGCGATCGTTTTAATGCGTCAAACGCGAGCTGGCATTCGGCAGTCCATTCGAACTGAGCCGTTTTCCTCAATATTTTAAAGAAAGGTAGACTTTTATCCGCCATCCGTGATATAAACCGAGCTAGGGCCACAACCTTCCCTGCTAAGGATTGGACTTCTTTGATGGAACGAGGGGGTGTCATTTGGAGTACGGCCTCGACCTTATCTTGGTTTACCTTAATACCTTCTCGATTAACAACATATCCCAGGAACTTTCCAGCTTGTACTGCAAATGCACACTTCGCGGGGTTCAATTTCATTCCGTATAGACGAAGGGTGGCAAAGGTCTCAGCTAGATCTGCGAGGTGCGTGGAACGCCTTTTGCTTTTAACTAGAATGTCATCAACGTAGACTTCAATGTTACGTCCGAGTTGAGCCCGAAACATTCTATCCATCAATCGCTGATACGTGGCCCCTGCATTTTTCAAACCGAAAGGCATTACCACGTAACAGTAGGTACCCGTGGCGGTGACAAAACTCACTGCTGGCTGATCCTTTTCGTCTAGCGGAATCTGATGGTATCCCTGTGAAGCATCCATCATACTAAGTAGTTCGCATCCGGCGGTGGCATCCACAAGCTGGTCTATGCGAGGTAAGGGATAATCGTCCTTTGGGCAAGCCTTGTTTAAGTCCCTGAAGTCGATACACATCCGCCACTGGCCGTTGGCTTTCTGCACTAACACTGCGTTGGACAGCCATGTGGGGAATTGAATTTCCCTGATATGCCCGATTTCCAGAAGTCGATGAACTTCTTTTTGTATGATTTCGTCTTTTTCAGTACCGAAGTGTCGCCGTTTTTGCTTGACGGGCCTGCACTCAGGTCGCAAATTGAGCCTGTGCACAGCAGTACGAGGTGATATACCGGTTAAGTCACTTGGTTGCCACGCGAAGATGTCTTCATTAGATCGTAATAACGTTATCAGCTCGTCTCGGAGAGGTGGTTCTAAATCCTTGCTTATCCGGGTTTGTTTCATCATACCGGGGACGAGGTCGATCGTCATCAATTCGTCCATGGGTTGTACATGATTAACCTTATCCTCTGGGTTAATTCGGGGGCGTTTCTCGTCTCCTAAATCTTCTTTGGTGAGGGTATCGCGTCGCCCTTTCTCCGCTATCTTAACCATTTCGACATAACATGATCTCGACTGGGCTTGATCACCTCTGACCTCTCCTACCATCCCATCGACTGGGAACTTGAGCTTTTGATGAATGGTCGAAGGGACCGCCCGGAAGGTATGCATCATTGGTCGTCCTACTACGATGTTGTACGAGGTCGGCGATCCTTCAACGATGACAAAATTGACAGTTTGCGTGCGAGTTCGAGGTGGTGTTCCTATAGTGACAGGGATTTTAACTTGTCCAATCGGCGTCAGGGATCCCCCCGTGAACCCGAATATCGGGGTGGTGACGGGGAAGACTGGGAGGTCGAGCTCCATTTGCAGGAAGCACTCGTAGGATATGACATCCACTGAACTTCCTGGATCGACGAAGGCGCGAGCGACGTCATACCCTCCAACGTTAATCGTGATGAGGAGAGGGTCGCAATGGAAATCATCCAGATCCACTTCATCTTCAGGACCAAACGATATAGTGGGGTATTGACGACACTTCGGTGTGGAGATTTGGCAAACTTCATGATTGTTCTTAAGACTACCGAGATGGCGTCTCCTGGCCCGGTGGGTATCTCCTCCCGTAGGGCCCCCTGAGATCATCTGGATGTATCCTCTTTTCGGCATTGGCGGTGGGGGCGGTACTCGTGCTGGATTTCCAAACTGAGCTTCACGCTTTTGTCCCCGAGGTGGATCTATCTTCACAAAATCTCCAATCTTGTTGTCTCTGATGAGACGTTCCACTTCGTCTTTCAGATGTGCGCAATCATCGGTCGTATGCCCGTATTCGTTATGAAAACGACAAAAGGTACCCAGTGCCGGATCTCGGCGGGGGGCTTCGCGAGCGGTCCGAGGCCATCGCAGATCAACTCTTTTCTCAATTGCGCACAACACATGGGACAAAGGGGCTGTAAGGGGCTGATAGGATTGGTATCGAGATCCCTTAGCATCCGGGGCAGTACCCCGACTGGGGGTATTGGCATCTCTTCGAGGTAACACGGGCTCCTTACCTCTCTTTACTTCGTTAACTCGTGCGTTCGCGGCTTGGTGAGACTCTTCCACTTTCTGCTGGCGGGCTTCTTCTAAGTTAATGAACCTAGATGCCCTCTCTAGGAGATTATCAAAATCAGGCGAAGGTTCCAGCGCTAAAGCTCGGAAAAACTCATCATCTCTTAGTCCTTGTGAGAGGGCTGCCATGAGCACCTCATCACTGGTGGTGGGGACCTCTAAGGTGGCCGAAGTAAATCGCTTAGTTTCTGAGGCTTTCCTTCTCCTTCTGACGAATGCTGAATAACGACAGAGAGGTCTTCTTGCACTTCTTCGAGCTAGCAAATTGATTCATGAAAGCTTTGGCAAGTTGTTCAAAAGATCGTATGGTTCTGGGAGGCAGCAAACCGAACCATGCCTGAGCCGGTCCCGCTAAAGTGGTGACAAAGGCGCGGCACTTCACTCCCTCTGTGAGCTGGTGGAGTGACGCGGTGTTGTTGAACCGACTCAGGTGCTCAGCTGGATCTGTCGTGCCGTTATACTCGAACAGGATCGGTCGGTAATTAGCTGGTATAGGGTCGCTATCGAGATGCCTGGCGAAAGGGCTAGATCCCGCGAGATCTCGCGTCGGCCCACTTCGCAGGGCCTTCAACTCATCTATATCGCGCCTTAAGCTGTCAACTTCCGTTCTGACGCCATGACTATTGCCTTCTCGATTCTATGAATAGCTATCGCATTCGTCCTCAGCTCGCCCTTCGTTCTGGGAGCGTCTGAGATCTCTCTTGGGTCGGTTATCTTGAGGTAAATTTTGCGTGTAGTTTCGGATGGCTGCGGTGATCATAGCTTCTACCTCGTCTCGGGTATACGTACGCTCATTGGGAGTTTGAGCAGGGGCCGTGACTGGCCTTCTCGAAGCAGCCTCGCCATCTTGGAACTCAAAAGAGGGGCTACTTGAGATGAAAGGGATCCGGCCTTCCTTTTCAGGTGTAAGTAAGCTACACCCCGACCTGTCTTTCAGAACGGACGATGGATCAGCCGGCGTGTCGCGAGCCGCTGCATCTAAATCCTTCTGCAAATTTCGGGCAGTGGTACCTCCTTCTTCCATTGTTCTCTACGTTGATAGCTCAGATCTGGACTTCCGGGGGTAGATCTGATATTTTCCCGGAAGTTGTTCCCAAGATTTTTAGATCTTTCCCACAGACGGCGCCACTTGATTTAGTCCGTAGGGCTTCTCCTCGCGCTCCTTAGATTCTGGACTGGATTCCGGTGAAAAGACCTGCAACGCCGGGAGGGGTTCCCGGCGGGAAAGCTCCGACGATCAAGTCAGTATAATAATTTTAGAGTAAGTTTGCGAAAAGTACGTAAAGCATGTGTGGAAAAATGCAATATCATTCCCTATTTATAGGTGAGGAAACCTTGGCCTCCAAGGTTTCCCTTTTTAGGGTTTCTCCCTACCCTCAAGTCACGTATTTTGGGCCTCTGATTATCCTGGGCTCGTTTTACCTCGTATTGATACTGGGCCTGCGAGCTAAGATATCCCCATATCGTCTCCGAGGTCGTATGACCTAACGACCTCTTCCGCCCTACCGGGCTAAGTTGTCATGGGCTTATCATCGTGGGCTTAATCTCATTTGGTCTTTCCAGAATGGCCCGTATCAAATTGTACTGGGGTTCTGTGGGAAAAGGGGGAAAAAGATCAATAATTGTAGGAGAGCAAGCTGAGGTTTCCAGGGAAAAACTATTTGCAATGGAGTCGGAAGAGTACATTGAGAAGTTTGTTGAGCTCCACATCGGGGATGGCGAAGGCTCCTCCTCCTCGGTGCATAACATCACTGTTGTAACTCCCGATGGAGAAGAGGTACGCTTTTCCCGGCCTCAAATATATGGATTTGTTTAGCATTTAACAAGTGTGTCGATCTGCAAGTTGAGAAAATGTTTGGTCTTGATAACAAGTGTGTTGATCTGCAAGTTGAGAAAATGTTTGGTCTTGATGTTCATAGATTATATATAGTGATGTTGACATCAGGGTCCCCTGCATATTTTTTTCTTAATTCTACCACTTTATTTTATTTTTATCTAATAGTTTATTGACTTCTCTTAAATATTCCAGCAGCCCCCAAACAAAAATTAAGTATTAAATCTATTAAATAGACACTATTAGTGGGAAAGTATTCTTTCCATATTCCATAATTATGTCTCTATTTGTGGAGACAATAATTTAGATCAGTTCACTAATAATGAGATAAATAGCATTATTGTTGCCTGATTGTTACATCTGTTGTACAATTTTATTATCATTATCAAATGAAGAAAAGAACATGACCATACTTAATTCATTGTATTAATTTTCTATCAACTGTTGAGCAAATTTCTATACATTTTCGTTTCTCATTTGATCAATTCCAATCATGGCGTATGATCATTGCAATTTATATAAAATTCTTTATTACCATGTTTTACCGAGGAGTACTTCATATATTGCATTAATAAGCGTTAGTGTTTCATATATTACGTAGGAGTGGCCAGAAGAAGATCGGCTCTCATTTTTGCTCCACGCGTTACACTCCTCCTCTACTAATGTTTCTAGAAAGAAAACGGTCGCCGCTGAACTACGGGAGCTGACGGATACGCGTGAACTACGCCGACTCATAATTTTGGTCCGAATTCCAAATTCCGTAACAATGTTGCTCGCCCCATTACAAACATTTGACTAGAGGTCAAGATCAGCAAACATTGACATCCTTAGAAACATTAGCGGTACCATTTTAAATGTTTCATGTTCAGAAGCTAACACGTACCTAGTCTCGGAAATACGAGCCTTGATTCAAGTTCTTGATGACACAATAATGCTTTCAGAAGATCATGACACGGAATGGAAAGTATCGCAAACTTACTTCCATTTGTCAAAACTTGAATCGGTCAAATATTTTATTGGTGAATTAGAGGAATTTTTTATGATCTTGTTCTTGGGATTTGTAGTTGACAGGATCGTGGCCACAACGAATCTTGCTAGAAATAAAAAGATTCTTAATGTGTTATTGCTCGTATTCGAACATCTTTCGACCAACGAGAAGTGCATGAACAAGTTTGCTAAGATAGTTCCCGTCCTATTGACCATAATCAAAGGAGATGTAAATTTTTCTAGGAAAAATAAGGAGAGCTGCGTTATAATCTTGTACGCCATGTTCGTTACAGACGAGTCCAAGCTGAAGTTGCTGAAGAATGAGGCTAATGCAATATATCAAGTTGCTAATGATGTTAATAGTACTGATCGAAGTAAGAGAATAGCCATTCGCATTCTTGAGATGTTGACTTCGCGTTCTTCAGATGATAAATAGGTAAACTATTATTCCTTTTAATCTTTACTACAATAATATACCGTCTAAATTGAATATGGTTGTCTCCGGACCATATCTTCGAATTAAAATACAATAAACTAAGATAATGCCTCTAGAGGTCTGTGTATGTTCCAATGTGTTTTTTTTTTCTCATCATATAGGTGTTTTCTCTTTTCAGGTGAGCATATGATTGCACGGACATTTAGGTGGACTCGTTACGGCTAGTCATTCGTGGAACTATTATTATTATTATTGTTTTTTCTATATTTTGTAAGACAAATGCATATTATGAATTCCAGTCTGTTGTTAAAACGATGGTTTTGGGGATGATTTAATATTATGTTGTGCACTTGTAATAGGTAATTGTTGTGTTGAATTTGAGTAATGTGACATAATATAAGTGTTTGTGTTTGTGTATTGATTTGATGTTTTGTAGTTTTTTCTTGCATGGGGATTATGCCTAGGTGATGTAGAAATGTATCCTGTCGAGGTACTTTGGAAAAAGAATAAATCTAATTTTGTGAGGCCTATATTCATCTTTACATACATGAGTAAGCATCCATCATAATCAATATTCACATTTTTTTTTTCCCCATGGTTATCATTTATGAGTAATAGAAATGTGATGAGCTAGTTCAGATTCCTAAGAAACAACTACAAATAGGAATTATGAGATGGAATATACATTGACCAAAACAATCCAGGAATCCAGAAGCAGCATGAAAACCGAAATATGCATAGAAACTAGCCCATGAACTTGAATCATAAAAGTTTATATCCGATCACCAAGGAATGGAGGTTACCCATTACAGAAGAAGTTAACACAAAGTACATCAATGGAAATCATATAAGTTGGGCAAAAGATTTGAAAGGCGATTGAGGTTGCAGTAGCGATATGATATCCTACCAGCTTAGCTTTTCGTTCTTTCTGTTCCCGGGAGAATTTTTGTCTAATCCTCCTCGTCTCCATCATCTCTTTCTCCATTCTCTCCTTCTGCATGATACAATAATACAGCTATTTTAGCAATGAAGTCATCACTTTTCCAATGCAGGCCAATAAAAAATAACACTCGAGGGATCAAATACAGAGTACACTCACAAAATATTCTTTGAAAACCATATAAACAATGTATTACAAATAATAAATAACAGTAGGGTTAGTTTTTTTGCATATAACAGAAAAATCAAAGTATTATACATTGGCCAAAAACATAACCAACCATGGTGCTATTCGATCAAAGAAACGAAAACCACTTGTTTCAAAAAAAACAAAGAAAAAACATAGTAAGTTGTATCAAAACAGAAATAGGAACAATGAGAATACCACTTGATGAATTTTTGTCACTTATCAGACAAACATATGCTGCAATTCAGGTCTGCAAAACACATTACTCTCTCCATCCTCCAGCACGGGATAAGCAGCCACAAGCGCATCTTGAGCGCCAATATAAACTGAATTATAGATTTTCCAGTACACTTGTCTAACCTTCCTCGCAGGGTGAAACAGCCCCTGAAGACAGTAGTTCAGCACAACAGCCGCACCCAGAGCCACCCTCATTCCTTCAATAGCTTCAGTAACAGCATTTATTACATGTGGCGATGTCTCGAAAATGTTGGGCCAGATAAAATTCATAAGATGGACCAAAGCGTCCTCGCATCCCAGACTAGCAACCCCAAGCGCCATGTGCTTGACAGCTGAAGCAGCAGTTTGCCTATGAACCAAATCTCTGTCCATTAGAGCATCCTCTAGCAATGGAGTCACTGCATATATATAGTCTTTTCCCATCTCACCGACGTATTCAAAGAGGAACGAGAGCGATTTTAAAACCCCGTTCTGAACATTGAGCTCGGGCACACGGTACTCATTCATCAATGCGGGCAAAACCGTAAAAGGGGAGCATGTTTCCGCGACGATTGCTATTGCCACAGTTGTGCAGACACGATTCTGACGCTCTTGCACCTTGAGGTTGTTTAACAAGGTTGCAAGAACATCTTGTGGGCCGATAGCCTTTGCAATATAGCCGAAAGTGTTGACAGTAGCTCTACGGATACCCTTCTTGTGCGCTTTGAGCATCTCGAGAAGCTCAAAGCATATCCTCATCCACTCCCTCGCAGGCACAAACTCAGGCCCACGATCAGCAATTCTTCCAACAAGATCGATACAGTTCTCTTGGACCTTCTCATGTCGGTTTTTTAAGATGGGAGTGAGTCGAGGAAGTAAATCTTTGATTGGTGGTGTCATCTTCGTCATACCAATAACATTGACAATAGACTTGAGAGCGCCCAATATTGAACCCAAAACTTCTGGATATTCCTCTCCCAAATACTCGTATAATAGTACACCAAGATGGCCCATCAATTGTTCTTCTCCGCATTGTTTCATAACCACAGCAATCCTAGATATAAGATCTGCGGCTTGCTGTCTCACTTTAGCGCTCTTATTATTAAGCCGCCATTTTATTGTACCGCATATCTGGGGAAGATACGGCTTCACCCGCTGACCAAGGGAGTTCACAACAGCCCCAAACCCATTAAGCATAACATTGGCATCATCGCTAGTTTGCTCTTGTAATGCATAGAGAATTCCATCGATTAATAGCTCTTCTAAACGAGCATCAATATCAGAAGACCCCAGGTCAGCAACCACCTTCTCAATTGTCTCCATAACCATCCTTCTATATGGCTCGCTTTCATCTGAAAGGTCTTCAACAATTCTACCTAGTATATCAGGTACACCGACTTTGTTAGCTATTTCCACTGTTGTTTCAACGAGCTGTTTATAATTTCTCCTATCGAGTGCCATCCTCCGTACCCAGAAATTACGAAAGAAGTCCGGGAGAATATAATTCCTGATATAATCTGGCTCCACACCTTCAGTACTGACACACTGCTTCACCACTTTGAGCACAATCTTCTTCATTTCTTCATCTGGTGACTGGAATTCGCGGATGAGGATAACCATAACTTCCTTGGTATAGTAGCTCGCATATGTTGCATCCATAAGTGGTATGATAAAACCAATGGCCTTCAGAAAGGCAGCCAAGACTTTGCCGCGATGGGATCTGATGCCCTTCCACAGAGGCTTCAACACCGAGTCAAAGCTTTCAATACCATAAGGGGCAGCAGCTTCAGCAAGAGCAGCCAAAGAAAGAGCTGCAATAGTCCTAACTTTCTGATTTTCATCATTAAGACCGTGTTCAATAATCTCAACGAGGGACCTCAAGTGCGGGAGAACGGCACAGCCAATTAGTATTGCAATCTGCTGAACAATCTTGATACCTGTGTGACGAGCTTGCCATGATTTCTTACTCTGGCAGACAGCTTTCAGAAACGGCAGCAATGCAGGAATACCAAGAGCAGAGGCGACGACGCTAAAAGCTCTTGCAGTGGTGTTCCTAACATATTCATCCATGTTATCGATGTCTGGACGCATTGCAGCAATCATAGTGGCCAATCCAGCTGCCTTGGTGAGATTTGAGATGATCTCTCTACCTTCTACACGAGCATAGTAATCCTCGTCAATCAACAGAGGCTCGATAACAACCAAAATTTTGTGGACATATGGACGGACTAAATCATCCAACTTATAGAGCACCCTGTCAATAACTTTAACCAGCAAGTGTCTCTCCTGGTCTTCCAGCGTGGGCTGCATGAGCAGTGGCAGAATACGGTTAAACAGTGGACCAGCACCAAATTCTCTGGCCTTGTCCGTGAGCTGTCTCAAAGCAGTTTTCCTCTGTGGAGGAGTGCCGTTTTTAACTTTCAGCAGGAGTTTCATGATCTTTCGCTCTATCTGGTCTTCATGAGATAACAGCTCCTCTTCATTGTCTTCTTCCTGGAGCAGCGAGCCGAAGTACTGATAATCCTCAGGTTTCAAGAATGGCAAACCACCAGGTAACTCTTTAGGCACATCAAACTGCTGGCCTCGATCTTCTGGAATGTTATAAAGAGGTGTCCCCATTGGAGTGGGTGTAGCAAGAAGTTTGCGGGCGGGAGTTCTGACAGGAACATACAAGGAAGGGGGATCCAAAACCTTGTACCCTTGTTCTGGAAACATTGAATCAAGATCCTCATCGGCTAATGGTCTATTTCTTTCCTCAATATCCTTCTCCCACCTAAATAAATTATAATGGTCGGGAGTCATTGCGCTTTGCATGATAGCCTTTGGAGTAGGAGTAGCCATATGAGCAGCCCCAAAAGGAGTAGCACAGCCCATGGTGGCCGGAGTCTCATCCCACCTCGACCTCTGCTTCTTCAGAGCGAGTCCTCCCAGCTTCGGTGTCGCACCAAGATTCTCGTCTTCTGACATACCGCATCTATTCCTTTTCTTTGGTTCCGTGTCTTTGTCCTCTTCCTTCGTTGCTAACGCCCTCTTCAGCACCTCCTCCTTCATCACATCACCATAACCTCTCACATCAGGTCCCGGAGTCGTGTCCAAGAATGGATCATTCCTCTCAGGAGATATAAACCTATTGAACTTCCTCATCCGATAGTCGTCGTCAATAATCTTACGATTACACAACCCTGCTGGCATGTCCTCGTCATCCTCGCCGCCAGGCTCCTCAAAAAACTCCCTTGGGGCAGTAAAGGATGCCATCCTCCCAGCAATTTCATTCTCCGCCGAAGACCCCAAATTATCACCGCCCTCATTCACAGCAATAGATCGTGAATACCCCTCAAACTTGTCCACGCTATACAGATCGCTGTCAAAACTATCCATCTTTTTTAACTTAACGAACCCCGATAACCAGTCAATATTAGCGAGAAAAAGAGAGAGATCTAGCAATTAACCCTAGCAATTAAACAATTCAATTCAACAACAATCGATTCAATTCTGTGTGTACCTTGTTCAATCTGCAAATCCAACGAATCTCAAAATTCAATTCTGTGTGTACCTTGTTCAATCTGCAAATCCAACGAATCTCAAACCACCTGCAAATCCAATAAACCACGAATTAGTCTATTACCTCTTACTCTTTTATCAATTGCACGCACACAAGTAAAAAAAATATTGCTGTGTTTGGCGAACAATTGTTGTGCCTTATATTAGGCTTTGGTAAACCCCCGATCCCT